TCGTAGACAAAATTATAGTTCATCAAGCAGAAGAAATGATAGTAGGGAATATCGAGGTTTTGATGTATATGAAAGAGGTTCATTTAGAGAAAATCAAAATATGGTTCGAACATCTCCCCTTCTTCACGTAATAGGAATCCAGAACAAGGATATTCATACTATAATCGATCGGCAGATGAAAATGATTTTGAGCCTCCACGAAATTTCACATGGCATTGAATGGTAAGTATAAATATTCAGTATAAACATAGGTTGAACATTTATAAAATTTTATTTGGTATTTTTATTTCTAATTATTTTTATTTATATGTAATACATATGGTAAAGATGAAATCATTGACGGACACAAGGTATATCATTTTGTCATTAAAATAAATTAATTAGTATAATGAAAATATGCAAAACATAGAATTTAGCATTTATATCTGGTAAAATTGCTTATAACTCCCATGTGGTTTCGAAATTCAGCGTAAAATCTCCCTGTACTTTAAAATTTGCATGGTACCCCCTTATACTTTAAAAAACGTTGCATAAAACCCCACCATCATGAAACTTTCCTCGTGTGATAAGAAGATGATTTCCTATCTATATGTTTTGCATGGCATGGGGGTTTTATGCACTATTTTTGAAAATATAAGTGAGCGTCATGCAATTTTTTAAAGTAAAATGGGGTTTATGCTGAGTTTCGAAACCACAAAGTGGTTTAATGCAATATTTTTAAAGTATAAATGGGCGTCATGCAGTTTTTAAAGTAGAGGGGGAATTTACCCAGAGTTTCGAAACCACAAGGGAGTTATGGGCAATTTTGCCTTTATATTTATATATATGTGTGCTAATTGAGTTGAAATGTTATTCATTTTAAATTTTAATCTACTATAGATTATAATATATTTTTTTTCAATAATATATATTTTTAAAAAAATATAAATTTTATATAAAAAAATCATATAGGCCGAAATTTGACCGATACGCCGCGACGTATCTAGATAGGTAAAGGCCGATCTGCGACGCCGGTCCGCGACGACGAACCATGCTCTCAAGAATGCATTACATAAAAAATTCACTATTAAGGATCTTGGTTAAACAACATACTTTCTGGGAATTGAACTTTGCAAGACAGAATCCGGTAGATATCTCTCTAAGCAAAGAAACACTAATGATATTTTGTTATTTTTTCCCGTGAATGAATCATCCACTGTGAGAACTCCCTTTCTTTCTGTAATAAATCTTGACAACACTTTTAGAAACACCATTACCTTCTGGAACTAAATACAAGAGTTTAATTGGGAAGCTTTTCGATTTGAGAATGACATGACCAGACATCTCTTATGCAGTGCAACATCTATCTCAGTTTGTCTGCTCCCAGAAGTCATCATCTGAATGCAACAATTCATCTTCTTCAATATTTACAGAAGACTTCTTGTTATGGCTTGTTCATCTGGTACAATCCAGCCTTAAGGTATTTGGCTTTTCAGACTCTCATTGGGCCTTATGTTTATCTACAAGGTAATCACTTACAAGCTATTGTATTTTCCTTGGCCACTCTTTTGTGTCCTGGAAAACAAAGTGACGTGGTCATTCAAGCTCAGAAAAATGATTATTGAAGATGAATGTGCTAGACATTAAAATTCCATTGTATCCGACTCAAAGGTCACCCAGCCGAGTCATCCCGAGGCCAGGAGTCGGGACTTCGAGACTAAGACAACAAATAATTATGGAAGAATCTCAAATTTAACTTTTTATATAGTAAATTTTATTAGAAGTTTCTATATAGTATATTTTCATATCAAGAACTTTCCTAATTATTTATTTCCTTATAGTTAGACTTACCTTTTGGTTTGTTTCCTTTTTTATTTGTTGCCTTTTATTTTTCTCAAGGACCTCTATATAGAGGAGAGTGAATCTTAAATAAAATTTCTTTATTGTTCTCTCTCAATATTTGTCTAGTGCTAGGATGTGATTTCCTCCCACTTAGATATGTCAAATCGGGTCTTTGAAGTGATTTCATCGGTTCGTGGCTTTCAATCCTTTGTAGTGGGATTTAACCTATTGTTCGTGTTTTAATCTATGGATTGATTTCAGGTCCGAGACTTATTCTCGTGGTTGGTTATCATCCATATTAATTCACATTATGCACTATCTTTTATTCTTTATCCCCCTTCTTTCAAATCGGGTCTTTAGAGTGATTCCATCGGTTCGTGGCTTCCAATCCTTTGTAGTGGGATTTAGCCTATTGTTTTTGTTTTAACTATGGTTTTGATTTCAGGTCCGAGACCTATTCTCGTGGTTGGTTATCATCCATATTAATTTACATTCTCTACACTATCCTTTCTTCTTTACCCTCCATTCTTTCAAATTGGGTCTTTGGAGTGATTCCATATATTTGTGGCTTCCAATCCTTTGCAGTGGGATTTAACCTATTGTTTGTGCTATAAATATGGTTTGATTTCAGGTTTAAGACTTATTCTCGTGGTTGGTTATCAACCATACTAAATTCACATTCTCTGCACTGTCTTTCCTTCTTCCTTCATTTTCTTTTATACATATTCTCAATCCATTTGTTTTATTGAACTTTGTGGGTAAGAAAATTATATTGGTTATAATTATACGCGGCCGGGCCGTGTCATCTGATATCAGAGCTAGTTGATACAATCTCTTGATTGATATAACGTATCTATTTGAAAAAAACAAAAGAAAAAAAAAAGAAAACGTAAAAAAAAGTCAAAAAAAGGTCAAAAATACAAATCCAAAAAAAAAAAAGGAAAAAAAAATTAATTTGTGGTATTTGTCAACTGTTTGTTATCTACAATATTTTCCTTGTCTAGTTTGTTTCATATTTTTCTAGCTATTGTCTTTGGAAAAATTGAGTCTTCTTGTGAGCCGTAGAGTCAATGAATATTGTGTTCCGGAGAACAAAAGTACTTTTCAACAAGAGGGAAATGACGAGGCCGTTCAAGCTTAGAAAAATGATTATTGAAGATGAATGTGCTAGACATTAAATTCCATTGTATCCGACTCAAAGGTCACCCAGCCGAGTCATCCCGAGGCCAGGATCACAAGAGCTAGGACTTCAAGACTAAGACAACAAATAATTATAGAAGAATCTCAAAGTTACCTTATTATATATTAACTTTTATTAGAAGTTTCTATATAGTATATTTCCATATCAAGAACTTTTCTAATTATTTATTTCCTTATAGTTAGACTTACCTTTTGGTTTATTTTCTTTTTTATTTGTTCCCTTTTATTTTTCTCAAGGACCTCTATATAAGGTCCTTGCCTATCATTGTAATAGAGGAGAGTGAATCTTGAATAAAATTTCTTTATTGTTCCCTCTCAATATTTGTCTAGTGCTAGGATGTGATTTCCTCTCACTCAGATATGTCAAATCGGGTCTTTGGAGTGATTTCATCAGTTCATGGCTTCCAATCCTTTGTAGTGGGATTTAGCCTATTGTTTGTGTTTTAATCTATGGATTAATTTCAGGTCCGAGACTTATTCTCGTGGTTGGTTATCATTCATATTAATTCACATTCTCTGCACTATCATTTCTTCTTTATCCCCCTTATTTCAAAACGGGTCTTTGGAGTGATTATCGGTTTGTGGCTTCCAATCCTTTGTAGTGGGATTTAGCCTATTGTTTGTGTTTTAACTATGGTTTTGATTTCAGGTCCGAGACTTATTCTCGTGGTTGGATATCATCCATATTAATTCACATTCTTTGCACTATCCTTTCTTATTTACCCTCTCTTCTTTCAAATCGGGTCTTTGGAGTGATTCAATCGGTTTGTGGCTTGCAATCCTTTGCAGTGGGATTTAGCCTATTGTTTGTGTTTTAACTATGGTTTGATTTCAGGTCCGAGACTTATTTTCGTGGTTGGTTATCAACTATACTAAATTCACATTCTCTGCACTGTCTTTCCTTCTTCCTTCCTTTTCTTTTATACATATTCTTAATCCATTTGTTCTATTGAACTTTGTGGGTAAGAAAATTATATTGTTTATAATTATGCACGGCCGGGCCGTGTCACAAAGAAACAAGATTCCATCAGTCGTTCCTCTACCGAAGTCGAATACTACATCATGGCACATAACTCATTTGGCTCACACATTTCCTAAAGGATCTTTATATTCCTGTTCATTTTCCTCTAACTCTATTATGTGATAACCTATCAGTACAATTTCTAGCTGCAAACCCATGTTTTCACGACCCTTCTAAACATTTTGAACTGGACTGTCACTTCACCAGAGATAAAGTACTTGATGGAAGTTTACAGACAAAATACATTCCCTCCACATCTCAGTTACTAGATCTAATGACTAAACCTCTAGCCTCTTTTCAACATCACACTCTCTCTTCCAAGTTGGGCATACAACCGCTTCCATCTTGAGGGACGATGAAGAATATAGATAAATACGCTTTATCAAATAAAGAAACATTATACATTTTATATTCTTTGATAAACCCGTTTTATAGATAGAAAAACTGTTTATAAGTGAAAATTAGTTGCAGATCCGTTTCCTTCTTCACTTCGATTGACTCGGTGTGATTCTTGCTGTTATCTTGTGCAATAATCTAAATTCAGTTTTCTCTCTTTCTCTTTTTGATTCTATAGAAATCAGCAATGTTAAATGCTAACATCATTCAAAGACAATAAAATGCATGAAAATATATGTTAAATAGAAATTGTGCTGATGATGTTTGATATTCATATGCGCTTAATCAAAAAAGTTTGTGTAGTGTTAGATTTAACGCATTTAACTAGTCCGGTGAAATTAAATTGTTTTATTATGTCACGTAAAATACAAACACAAATAAAAATACTGAACATATTTATTTTGATTATATAAAAGGAAAAAAAGAATGGATAATGGAGGTGGGTGGGTTCATCATCCGTTGAGGTATAAATAGAAAGGCAGTTGCGGAAACATCGGAAGTATAAGAAGCATGGGGGAGAGACAAAGGAGACAGAGAGTGGTTCATAATCATGGTTCGCCGGATTGGTCGAGTCCGGTCCGACTTGGCCGATCCGGAACTGTTCCGGTTCAACACAAAAATCCGATTTTTTACATAGGGTTTTCAATCCACACAAATCTTATCTAAAACTCATTCTTATTCATTCCATTACCTATTATGTCTCTGTCGCTGGCTTCTGCTCTATGTTCCTGGCGGTGGACGAAAAATAATTGCTCTGGCTTCTGCTCACTGTTCCTGGCGGTGGATGAAAAATAATTGTTGTTGGTGAACAAGGTAAGTTTTGGGTATCTATCGTGTTGGGGAATGTGGGTTTTAGGAATCGCCTATGTGGTGGAAGGGTTGGAGAAAAAATTTCGCTTATTGAAGAAAATTTGTTGGTATTGTGTAGAAAAAAACTCAGCTTCGGCAGGTATATGAGATTTGGGAAGGAAGAACTGGAGATTCACCGTGGAAGAAAGGCTGGAGACTCGCCGTGGAAGAAAGACGTGTGGTAATTATATATATTATTACTTTAATTAATTAAATTTTTTTTAAATACAGTTTAAAATTAATTTTATTCCTTAATTTTTGGATTGAAATTAATGTTGAATTTTGATTGATTTATTTAATTGATAGGTTTAATTATTTTGGATTGTATTTAATTTTATTTAATCTATGTAAAGTAAGTTTTATTAAAATTAACTTTGTTTATATATATATAATTTTAATAAATATATATTCTAAGTTTAAGTTTTACGAATTAGTTATTTAAGTTAAATTTTTGTATAAATTTGATTTATTAATAAAATAATATGTATAATTTGTCCAATTAACTAATAAATTACTACTTATAAATATTTTAAAAATTTTATTATTCAATTGCAAAGTTTGTGTAAAATGGCACTACATAAAGATATTAATTGAGATCACGCTACTCTTATAAGCAACAATAGAAAGCAAACAAAATGCAATTATTGTGGAAAAATTGTTCACGGTGGGATTACTAGGATGAAACAACATATAACACATGTTACAGATCAAGTTGAAGCTGAAGTATGTATGAGAGCTCCAAAAGAAGTAAGAGAGTTACTAAAAAACACTTGATCCAAGGAAAAAGTATGTGAGCAACAGATAAAAAAAAATTAGAAGCATTGCACAATTCCATTCATTCGGAAGATGATTCTGATAAGGAAGAAGATGAAGTTTTTGAAATAAATGAAGATGAGATAGATGCTCTTGAAAGAAAACAATTAAAAAGAGCAATGGTTGATAGTAGAAATATGGAATTTATAGGGCAGCAGCGTAGACATTCTGTATCCGGAGATCTACGAAGTTTGAATTTTAAAGCAGGTATATTTATTGAATTTTATAAAATATATTTAAATATTAGTATATTTCTTTTGAAATAAAAACTATATATAATCATATTTTTTTACCTTTGAAGGAGGAAGCAGTTCGAATAAAAAAAGAAGTAAAAGAAATTTTTTCGAAAGCTCTACGAGAAAGACAGGAGGTTTGCATAAAAAAAAGCTTGATCCATTCACATTTCAATTGAAGAATAAGTCTTTGAAAAGTATGTTTTTAAAAGATAATGTGAAAAAGGTGGGTAAGGCAATTTCGAATTTTTTTCATTTTAATGCTATACCATTTCATGCTGCCGATAGGGGTTCTTACTATCAAACAATGATTGACACGATTGCATCCGCTGGACCTGAATTTAAAGGGCCTGCTGGTAAGAACATTTGGAGTGAATATTTGAACTAGGAGATGCAAGAAGTTCTACAATATGTTGATTCTTTAAAGGAGAAATGGAAAACACATGGATGTACAATTATGTGTGATGGTTGGAGTACTCGCACAAAACATCCAATCATAAATTTTATGGTGTACTGTGACAGAGATATGATATATCACAGTTCGTTCGACTATATGAATAAGGTAAAGACTTCAGACTTTGTCTACACCCTAATGGACAAGGTTGTGGATTCATTAGGGGTTGACAATATTGTACAAATCGTAACTAATAGTGAAGCTAGTATGAAGGCTGCTGGGAAAAAACTGATAAGGAAAAGGAAACATATTTTTTTGTCTTCATGCGCTGCGCATTGCATTGATTTGATGTTAGAAGACATCGAAGACATATTTTTAGTAAAGGATACGATAAAAGAAGCCAGAAGAATTACAGGATTTATATACAACAGTGATAAAGTGGTCAATTTGATGAAAATATATACGAATGATTGAGACCTATTGCGACCAGGCATAACAAGATTTGCAACCGAGTTTGTTGCAATGGAAAGTCTTCTAAGATACGCAACTGACTTGAAAAGAATGTGTACTTCTAGAGAATGGGTTGAGTACAATAATACCTCAAGAAGAAGACATGAAGCTGGAGATATATCAAACATGATTTTGAATGAAAGATTTTGGAAACGGGTACGCCGAGTTTGTGGGATCATGGAACCTTTGGTGAAGGTTTTAAAAGTAGTTGATCAAAATAAAATAAAACCTACACTACCTATCATTTATGAGGCAATGGATAGGATAAAAATGGCAATTAAAACCGCAGTGAAAGATTTTTAACAATATTGGGATATCATCGATGAAAGATGGTATAACTAATTGCATCAAGATTTGCATGTTGCAGGTAATTGTTTTGTTTTTTTTTACATTGTAGTAATCATTTATTTTATTTTCTAATATTAAATATATTTGATGCAACTTACTTTTTAAATCCTAGTCTTCAATACTCTGGCACTTGTGCATTTGATTCATCGGAGGTTTGAAAAGAAGTAAAAGAAGTTATTAAAAGACTCGAGCCAGATTTGGATGTACAAGTAAAGGCTATGAATGAGGTAAAATGTGTGAAACTTAGAACTAATATTTCAAATAATTTTTTGAGCTTTCAAGAAATATATATATTTGTGCATTGTTATAGAAACATATATATATTGATTTCTAATAATTTTACATTATATTTCTTATAGATAAATACATTTGTTAACAAAATTGGATAATTTGGAAGTGCACTTGCTACTAGAGTTGTAGCTACATCTTTACCAGGTATGCATTATAAAATTTATCATTCAATTATGTTTTTTTGACATGTTATAATATGGTGCATTATTATTAATTTTTTTTACCATTTTTAATAGCTGACTGGTGGAATATGTATGGTGATGAAGCCCCTAATTTACGGGAAATTGCATTAAAAGTTTTGAGTCAAACATGCACATCATCTGGTTGTGAGCGCAATTGGAGTACGTGGTCTTTGATCCATACTAAACTTCGGAATATATTAGCTATTGTGAAACTGCATAAGCTAGTCTATGTCCACTACAACATGTGTCTTCGGGTGAAAAATTTTATGCAAAGGATAGACACAGATGATTTCTACGACCCGATTGATTTGAGTCATATTTTTAATGAAAATGATATTTTAGATGAATGGGTCAGAGAAAATGAATCTCCACTTATTCATGATAGTGATTTGAATTGGTTGGATGAGGCTATTGATAAAAGTGGAGATGGAAGTGACAGTCAGTGTAATTGATCATGACAACGATATGTTTTTATCTCAGTTTATAGCCGATGGAAAAATGAAGGCCAAAAAGAAAAAATCAGAAAAAAAAATATGAGCAAGAAAAAAAAAACAATCACATTGAAATCTTCATCTTCAACAACTAACGGTGAAGATAAGAATAATAACAACGATGATGATGATGATGGTAGTGGTGGTGGTGGTGGTGGTGGGAGTGGGAGCTATAGGGATAGTCGATACTCAAGTGATATGGGATGGGCTCAAGGAAATGAAAATTATTATACTACTCAAGACAATGATCATGGATATCGTCCTGGGATAAAAGCTCAAAGAGATTTTCTAAATAGTTTAACAGAATTTTCAAGTGAAGCTGATACTTCAAATTTTTAAGTTACTAGGAGATATTCTGGAGATCACGAACATATGCAAGACTTGAATATAGGTTCTTCCTATGGAGATTCTTCCCACAATTCGAGTAATAGATTGGGGAGACAGGAGTGGGACCAACGAAATTCATATCATCATCCCTATTACCCATGATACGGTTTATCTAATCTACCAAGATATCTTCAAGATTCAGCCAATCTTCCTATCTTTGGATCCAACCAACCGGTTGGAACATATTATGAAGGGATTACATCTGGTTCGGGTAGTATTGATGATCGTAGACAGAATTATGTTTCATCAAGCAGAAGCAATGATAGTACAGAATATCAAGGTTTTGATGTATGTGGAAAGGGTTCATTTAGAGAATGATATTCATACTATGGTCGATCAGGAGATGGAAATGGTTTTGAAGCTCCATGACACTCCACAAGGTATTGAATGGTAAGTATAAATGTTTAACATAAACATAGTTTAAACATCTTATAAAATTTTATTTCTAATTTTTATTTATATGTAATAACTTGAGGTTGCTTGAATTTAATTTTACTAATACAGATTGTTTAATTTCAAGGGACTGTTAATTTCAGGGGACAGCCATGGAATGATCTAGAATGGTGGAAATTTTGTGTTGGGTTTCAATGTAACAATCTTAAGCTTTGGAATATTTATCTAGATGAAGTCAGTTGCTATTTTTTTGTTAAAAAATTTGACACTTAGCATTCATGTTGTTGGTCTTTGATGCAGTGCATCTTTGAAGGCTTATGCACATGATGAGACTTCAAACAACCTATACAGAGTCTTTGTTGTAGTTTTTCATGGGCATGGAGATATTTGCATTGTTACGTTGGCATTTAGATATTTGCATTGTTATGTTTTTTATATACTAGAACTTATGGAGTGTATGTCGTGTTGTCTAATATTTTGTTGTATACGGTGGAATTGCAAACAAAAAATTTTCATCAGTTTGAGAGGCTAATTTGAGACATGCAGCCTCCGTGGTTATTTTCTTTAATATTATATATTTTAAAAAATAATTATGTTTATGATTTGATGAATTTTAATTGGTTATTATTATTTTGTTAAAAATACAAATTTTTGTAAAAAAAAATCATATGGGCCCATATTTGCCTGAGACGCCGCGAGCTATACTCCGCGACGTATGTAAAACGATAAGGGTCGATCCGCGACAGCGAACCATCGTCATAATCCTTCTTACATTGGATCCTCCATTACATCCCATTCTCTCCTCTCCTCTCCTTGCGAGATTTCTTTCATTCGTCTTTTTTTATGTGACCGAATAATTCCCTCTCGCGGTTTCCGTTGCCTCTCCGTCGCGTCTTGGACGCCTCGGCCTCGATCGCCACTGCGTGTTCAGAGTACGTTTCTCATTTCTCTTCTCTTACATTTATGGTTTTGCATTTTCCTGTTGGATGATGGTTGTCCTCGTGTCTGGAATTGTTGATTGTTCGCAAATTTGGAGAAATAATTGGTGTTTTATAATGTTTCGAATGCCGAGGAATTTAGTCATGTTAGAATTCGACATTTTTGTTCCAGGATAATCTATGCGATTTTATAACTGTCTGTTTCCTTCGCTGTAAGAATCGTGCACGGCGATGCGTATTTTTTGTTATTATTATTATTTGTTTTGTATCGAGTCTTCGAAACTCTGTTTGATGACTTTGCGTGGTGCTGAATCAATCAAAATCAAGATTATAAATTGCATATCCCCATAAATCATTCACAAATTGTATGTTAGTTATTCAGGTTATTACAGTTAAACAAGGTTTGAAAGGAATTAGGACATTCTTTTTTCCCTTTGTTCCGTTGCTTTTGTTACTGTAAGAGAAATTCGATACACGTCTATGACATTAACATCGACTTTTTGGTCCGCTGAAGTCTATTTTGGCGACATTGAAGCAATTAGGAGCGAGCAAGGGCCTTGTTCGACGGTAGGAGTCCTTATTTCCTTTCCACGCATTGTTTAAACCATTACATCTTAAGCCTTAAGAAGCATGATATCATCAGGATTGGGAAGCTAATAGATTTCTTACGTTATTGTTTATTACTTATATAATAATGTAATAAATTCCATATAAGATTTTCCATCAAAACCATTCGTTAAGTATGCTCACTTTGTTGCATCATCAACACCTCTCAAATCTGGTTAATTATAAGGTCATGACAAAACTAAGGAGGTTCTTCTACTGCACACTTGATGTAGAATTAGCATCTGCATTCTCGGTTATTTGTTGTAGCTTGTCCGATAACACAAGTACGGCTTTGGTTGCAGAATGTGATTCAAAATCTCCCGGGGCAGACGAGAACCATTAGGGAGCCGTGCGTTCATGAACTCAAACCTCCGTCGTCCAAATGCAAATGCAAGCGCCGGTCCTTCACTCAGATGATGATTGACTACAAAATGTTGGACTTGGAGGAATCCGACCTGGACCGACGACCATGACACCCATTCCCGAATCGAGATTCTCGTCGGGCACGACTCCCCCAAGTGCACGCTATGGTCGTCGAGGTAGCCTTCCGGCGTCAGGGCCGAGCCCGACCATCCGGGAGGCTTCCACTCGGGTTCTTGTCCTCTGCACGGTGTTTCTAAAGCGAGCGGTCGCATTCGACCCGAGAGTTTCGTGGAGGAGGAGAAGAACAAGGACGGAGTTTTCTTGGAAATTTTATGCTTAACGGCTAAAACTCGCTCGGAGAAGGTCGCTAATGTTGAGATGGGTAACTACTCCTCGACTAAAGGTGGTAGGTACTGTTACTATATTGACTTGACTATATAGAGAGAGTCCTTTTACCACCGATCATAAACCCTAATAAATTTCATTGCGGAGTGTTTTTGTTCGGAGACTGCTCTGATGTCCATTGCATTGCAATTAGCAAACCCTTCCCTGCCTCCTCCGCCAGGCTTTTCAGCCCTGTGTTCCTCGACTCGGGTATGGAATTCTCGATTGCAGTTGTGTATAATAGAATAGAATCGAGTAGTTTTCCTGCAGTTTCTTTCAGAGATTTCCATACCTGAGGAAGTTTCAACCTGGCAAAGGCTTTGTAATGGAGAAGCTGAATGAGCGAGCCATCTGGATTCCCTTGAGGCCTCAATAAGTCGGCTACGCTTCCGTCGATGCATTTCTTAGCTTCTCCATAAAATTGGCAGACAACTGATAATTGGATAAGAATCCTGCTAGCTTAGCTTCTCAATTGTGATTGATTGATTGATTACCTTCAATGGTTTCTATACAGAGCAGATCATAATGATCAATTTGTTGGTTTGTACATAAAAAAAGAAGATAAAAATAAAAAATAAAAAAATTCAGATCATAGTCGCAATTGTGATTACCTTTTTTGGTTTCTACATACGAATGAACGAGCAATGTGCAATTGGGATTGTTGGTATATTCTTTTGAAGGGGCACTAATCTTTTGAACCCAGTATCAACAGGTATCGTATCCCCCAAGACAAAGTTTTTTTTCGGGCCCTTCAACATGAGATCGAGAATTGAGATGACTTCCTATTTGTGTTCTGCAGTAATGTAGACAACGATAATCCAAATTTTTTGTTGATTGATATAAAGGATTTTTTTTTATACGTTCATGCATTTTTTTTACATATAGAAGATCAGTTCTATTCATAAGCCCAAATAGCATATCTCTAGTGGCTTAATCTTTGAAGTGAGACATTCCGATCATTTAACAAATATAAAATACTTAAAAAATACTTTTACTAAACTTGATTGACAAAAGATGAATAGAAAGTTATAGTTATGTACAAATTTTTTAATTTAATAAAAAAAAAAAAAAAAAAAATCTCTTTTAGCCATGAACGTAATGATTAAATTTATTTCTGTTACAAATTTCACTGGGTTATGACTGACTAGATCTAATCCATCATAATCTGTATTTCCACCTAACTAAAAATACAAGTATTATATACTCCATCTATTTCCTAATAATATAATGTGATTAAAATTCAGCATCGTTATGACAACATATTGTGTATTAACAGACAACATACGATACTACTATAGATAACACATCATATATAGTAATATAATATAAATATAATATATGAACTAACTGCGCATGATATAGTTTCACGCAATAAATGCAACAATTGATTTTTAGTTCATGATATATTTCTACATAGCCCGTATTATAAGTATAAACAACAACACATATCTCTCTATTTCACACAGCGCACACAACAAGTGTTGTTTATGACAAAAACATATACTGTCTGTATCTTTTATCGGTGATGATTGAAAATATCAACACCGTGTTGATTTCTCCAAATTAGAGCATATGCAATGGGTTAGACATAAATTTACCTCAATTACCCGACATGGATGTAAGATGGTTCTACTTAGGCCTGACACAAATGCTAAAACATAAAAATTACACAAGGACTTTTACATAATTAGATAATCTTCTAAGTTTGAGAAATGTCTCACAGGCCAAACCTAAACAACTATTGTTATTTTACCTTTATTTGCAAGCCACTGGGTGATTATTTTTGTTGAATGTAATATAAAAAGCTCCTGTTACAATTGAATACCATCAATTTGCAAACCACTACACAAGTTCTTAGCACCCTAACCTCTCTTCTTAAAATGAGTTTAAATTTATGGTACGAATTTTAATATGACTATGTACTTTTGATTATTTTTTATTTTGGCTAAATTGATTTTTTAGTCCCGTAACTAAACCTATTTATTATTTTAGTCTGGTAAATAGAGCATGTCGCAAACTAATCTCGTAACTGAAAAAATTTTGCACTTTTATTCATCTGGCGCCGAAGATGCCTACATGGCGGCTCCCACGTGGCTCATCTGAGGACACGTGTCTCCCAGATCAACGACACTTGGCGGACATATGAATTTTTTTTAAAAAAAATTAATTTATATATTTTATCTTTTTTTAAAAAAAAATTATAATTTTCAAAAAAAAAGATTAAATTAAAAATATAAAAAATAAATAAAAATAAAAATTCATGTGTCCGCCAAGTCAGTGGCACCTGACGAATACATGTTCTTTGAATAGTCACGTGAGTGCCATGCCACGTAGGCATCTCTTGCGCCGAAAGACTAAATTAGAATTTTTCACTTACGAGACTAATTTGCGATAGACTCTAGCTATAGAACTAAAATGATAAAGGGTCCCGTTACGAGATTAAAAAATCAGTTTATCTTTTTATTTTTTATTAAAAAAAAAACACAAAACTTGATACTCCCTCCGTCCCATAATAAAGATGTTATTTTCTATTTCTGTCAATTCCAAATCAAGTGTATCATTTCATAATTTAATAATTGTATTACATACCGAACATAATAAATACTCTTACAATTTACAATATACTCATTCAAATCTATGCTCATTTAAAAAAAATATTCTTGTTTCCTTTTTAAGTAAAAATAATCATTAAAGTTTGTACTTTTTTTTTTACTATGAAAGGAAAAAAAATTATTACTCACTTTTATTAAAACTCATGTCCGGTCAAATGAGCACACTTTCGTATGACAAATGGAGTATTACACAAATATCATTACTTTTATATTACAATAAACTAATATGGACATTTTACTACAAACCAGTATAATACTAATATAAAAAATTTATGTACAGAAAATAAATGATACTCTTGTTGCGAGTCAAAGATAGTATAATTTTTCAAAAGAAATAAAAATATTTTTCTATGATGTATTTATTCTATACTATCAGTAAGAAATAAAAAATAGGAAAAAGTATAAGGACTGTTTGTTTCAATGATTCTTTTTTATATGATTGAAATTTTACAAATTTTACAGTAGGATTTATATATAATACTCCCTCAATCGGGCTAGAAAGTATACACATTTCTATTCTAGGACGTCCAATTACAAAGTAAACATTTCATTAAATACTCCATTTTTTTCCACAAATACCCTTACTTTATATCACATCATTACTTTTATACCAAAAAGTAAGGGCAAAAATGTCGTTACACTATTTTTAACTACCTACTATAATTAAAATATTATTATTTCTTAAATACCGTGCTAAAAGTAAATGCATACTTTATCCGTGGACAGAGGGAGTAAGATTTATTGTATTTATGATCTGGAATCTATCTTTGTAAATTACGTGGGATTTATATTTCCAAATCCAGTTTGTTTATAAAATTAATTGAAGGATTTAAATTTTTGATATTTAAATAACGTAATTATCTTTCACGAGTTTTATTTATTGTGATAAATTAAACTTTACATCATTTTTTTTCCGTGAACTTTAATTTTTACTAAATTAAGTGTATTCTAATAAAAAAAAATTAATACAATTTTCGATTAATAATAAAAAAATATAATATATATATATAGATTCATACAAAATATATATTGTAATATGCAGAGTATAACTAAAAAATACGATAATCTAATTATTTTTTATACTATTGACATTCTTTCTCATATTTAATATGAAAAATACTTTAAATTAAAAATACAAAATTAAACACCAGTAAAATAAATTTAAATTATTAATTGATATTTTAAATTATTAATTTATTTAAATTATCATTAATAGAATAAATAAATATAAATAATATTAATGATTATAAATAAATATATGATTTGTAGTAATATACTTAAATATAATATTATATTTTATAAATTTAATAAAATATAATTTAAGTGTAAATATATATACATTTAATACTAAAAAAAAATATGATTTTTTTTAGATTTGAGGGTATAATAATTAAATATAAAATGCAATGCCATCGGATTTTAAATTTTAAGGTAATAGGGATAAAATTTTAAAGTAATAGGGATAAAATCCTGAATTGCCTTTTAAAATCTCATGCATTTAAAATTGCATCCTCAATTTTATAAAGAAACATGAATTCATTAGAATTTTAAAATTCAAATCTTATATAATTTCATCAAATTCATAAACTAAACAGCTCCTTAAGTATATTTGTTTTTTAAATAATTTTAAATAATATGTATATATATAAAATATCATAAAAATAATATATATATATATATAAAATATATTAATTTTTAAGAAAATATGTGAATTTGTTTTGACAAACCCTACACAATCAAATAAACAAATTTGTTTAGAAGGTAGAATGGCAGAAATACCCTCGTCTGGAAAAAGAGAAGGGATAAGGGCCAGTGGCGAGGTGGAGAGCAGTGAAGTGTGTGTAGGTCGGTGTGTACACGACCTTTACTTGACAAGCTATGGCAGCACTTTGTTGGTCGCTCTCCGCCATTCTCTCTGCCTCCAGAATCCGTATCACATCATCATCTTCATCTTCTTCTTCTTCTTCGCCTAAATCGAACCAGAATTTCGGTAAGCATAAGGTGGATTCATGGTCGCTATCAAGGAGAGAATTTGTGAATGGATCGGTAGCAGCTCTGAATCTGGTGCCGGTGTTGGTGTATCCTCAAACTTCGGTGGCCAGAGAAGTTGAGGTTGGAAGTTATCTCCCGCCTTCGCCGACAGATCCTTCTTTCGTTCTCTTCACCGCCACTTCTAAGGACACTCCTGCTCTCCGTGCCGGTAACTCTCTCTTCTCTCTCTCTCTATTCGTTTTTGGTTCGGAATGGTAAATTTGTGATTATCTGACGTTGATTTGTGCTGTTCGGTTACTGTGTTAGAGTTAATAATGAAATGAACGATGCTTCAGCTTTATGTTTGTTGAAAAGGTTAATTATACTATACTACATTGGCTAGGCAATCGTGGTTGTTGAATCTGATTTTGAGCTTTACTGTAGTAGTCTGCAATGGAGAGAGAAAACTCGAAGAACATTATTATCTCTATCTCGAATGTGTTCGTTCCTACTTTGTGAGAAATGTCATCTCAAAGCATATGCATATGAATTGAAATGCAAACAACATACATATACATATACACAAGTATTGAATGAAAATAATCAGTGGTGCAGGGAAATACACTAGATAATAGTACTACATCAACAATACATGTTTATCATATCTCATGTATTGTCTCAGCAAAAATAATATATATATATATATATGCTTATGCAAAGTCTGAATCCAGTTGGTTGCAGGAAATGTAGAGCCATACAAGTTCATCCTCCCTCCCACATGGAAGCAGATGCGCGTTGCCAACATTCTCTCCGGCAACTACTGCCAGCCTAAGTGCGCCGAGCCTTGGGTTGAGGTCAAATTCGAAGATGAAAGACAGGGCAAGGTTCAGGTTGTGGCTTCCCCTCTCATACGTCTCACCAACAAACCTAACGCCACCATCCAAGACATTGGGTCGCCGGAGAAAGTGATCGCTTCCCTTGGACCCTTTGTCACCGGGAATACATACGATGCTGATGAACTCGTGCACACCTCAGTCCAGAAACAAGGCGACCAAACAGTACGTATGATCCCATTTCACCTCATCTCATCTTGTTCAATTTCATCTGCTGCCTGCCTGCCTGCCTTGTTTGACCAAAATACTTTTTCCACAAAATTACACATAATCCGCTATACTTTCCCAAATGAATATCATGCTTGATCAAAACACCTTTTGCCAAAATTACTTATAACATTATCTATACTTTGAAGATTTTGCATTATTCATCTAATTTAAAATTTACATAAAACACTTTACAAAAAATACATTGTGCCAAAAAACCAATTAGCTGTTTTTAAGAAGATTATCTACAATATTTACGAAATCACAAGAAAATTTCATGCAAGTTTTAAAAAACTCAGTACATTATATTTTTTAAAAAACGAGAAAACATTGTACAATTTTCAAATTATGAAGGAATATGGTAAAGTAATATGGTGTAGATTTTTCTTCGACTACGTTTTTATGTTTCTGGAGAGCAAGACTAAACTTGGATCTTTTATTGATGAGTTTTGTGTCTCCGTCAACGCAGTATTACAAGTACGTGCTCGAAACACCATACGCTCAGACAGGATCGCACAATCTTGCCAAGGCGACGGCGAAAGGGAGCAGTGTTATCCTCTTCGTGGCGAGCGCAACCGATAAGCAGTGGCCGTCGTCGGAGAAGACATTGAAGGCAATTGTTGATTCTTTCCAAGTGTAAATCCTTTTTGGCTTGTGCGTTTATGCGTTGGATCCAAATGCAATGCTAGAATAACTAAGGAATAAATGTGAACTACCATACATACATACATAAATACATACATACATAGGATACTGTATTATAACAGTAGTACCTCAGGCAGCAGTCACTAGGTGATGCGCAGAGGCTCCCTTAAAGGGCAGCATGCACGAGTAGGTTACGTACTTGACGCTATCGATCAGTACGACCACAAAGATTCGAGCGATGGGCTTGGTTGTTCCCATGACATCTGCCTCTCGAGGGTCCACGAGTATGGAAACCACCATTGGCGGTGACGACGACGAATTGTTTCTGCTCAACTTATCTTTCCCGGTGGTGGTGCTTCTGTTGCCGCCATGTTGAGCGGTGATGTTGAGAGATGAGTAGTCTGGAAGAGGAATGGGAAGGCCTCGGAGGATTCTACGGTTCGTTCTTCCCCTACTGATATCCCTAGAGTTTTTATTTTGTCCTCCGGATACGTTTCTCGGCGTAGGAGATGGAACTATTGCGCCTGACGGTGAAGCTGGCGACACCTCGAACTGGAGAACTTCGGTGCACATGCCGGATCTCAACATCGGCCCTGGATTAAGAAAAGACAATGATCGTAATAAAATCCGTGATAGAGAGAGTACTGCGAAATGCAATAAAATCTAATAGCAGAGGATGAGGACGAATATAAGTAGTCTATAAGTAGTCTTTCGGGAAGTATCCTAGGCACATCATTCTCTTATGTTGTAATTATCGATACAAGACATGTTCTAACACTAAGTTCATGGCAGGTTCGAGAACGAATATTAGAAATTAATATGAATATTGTATGAAGGAAGAATGAGGATGAAAGGAAGTGAAGGATTACCGGCAAGGCCTTCTCGGAACCACTGTTGGAGACTGCCTTCAGTTGCTTTGAGCTTACCAGCACCGGCACCCAAAGCCCTATTATATTGGGGATGTTGGGAGCCAACCCCACCAGCACCCGGAACCGGAACAGGAACATCACCATGGAAATCCGCTGGAACCACCGCCAGTCCAGTGCTCGTCTTGCCACCACTCGACATAGCTTTCTCGCTCGCCAAAACCGAATGGATGACCAAATTTCCATCAATCCTAACAAGCCTATCATTCCTAGGAACATACAATGATGCTATAAGAGGTTCGCTCCCGTTGCTTGATCCAACACCACCACCACGATCACAATGCACTCTATTCTCACCACCGGAATATCTTCGACCAACCGGCAAAGTCCCATTCACCATCAAAATCCTCCCATGGTTTTTCTCATAGCTATCTACGACACCTGTCAACGACTCCCCAACTCCACCATACCTCATGTTGATGAAAGGAGCCAAACCTCCCAACAATAATATAAAAACCAAAAACCCTATAAAACTAACACCAGCGACCTTCTTCATCTTTGGCTTTGGCTCAGTGTTCTTTTTACTCTTAGTCTCGCCCTTCTTGCTTGTCTTCATCACTTGCGTTGCCTGTGGTTTCAACCTCGGAATCGGCACTACCGGCACCTGCGAGCCTTGTGCCCTCATCATATACGGCGGAGCATACGGCATCCAGGGAGGATGCATCATCCCTTGATACGGGTACATAGGAGGAGGAGGAGGTGGCATTGCACCGGAAACTCCCATTTGCTGTCGCAAAGTTGCGTTTTCGGCCATTAAGTATGATATCTTTGCATTCAAATCTTGAATTGTGGAATGCATCGTTTTCACCTTATCTTCCAGCTCCTCAACGTACTGTTTCTTCCTCTGTCTTGATATCTGAGCGCTCTCCCTATTTCTCATCAATCTCACCTTCCTTTTCTCATCCTCTCCACCATTATTATCATTGCTGTTGTTAGCTTTGTTTTCTGAATTGCAGCTAGATTTCTTAGACTTAACTGTCCTTGAATCCTCAGTATTGTTCACGCAGTCTTCACAATCCTTCTTTCTTTTCGATTTCGAGCTATTAACGTTACCTCTTGACGATTCCTCTAACTTAATGTTCTCATTGACAACTCCAGTTCTTCTCGAAGAGTTAAATGAATTATGGGAAGAAGTTGCTGACATCGTGGCGATATTATTTGACCTGTACCTGTAGTTCTCCGAGCCAAGAGATTCTGGAGAAGGAGAATCCATTGCCTTCGCACTACCACCGCAGTTTTCATATATTTGTCGATTTGATCCATTCGATTCTGGCGAAGCGGCGTTCTGATAGGCACGAGTATGATCCGATTCCGCAGCACCAAAACAGTTAAGGCTACAATCGACCGTGAAAGCTCCTTCCAGAGACGACTGAGGCAAATCCGAAGAACCTGATTCGTAGATCGGTGCGAATTGATGAGAATCGAGTCCTTGACTAGTGCAGTTAAGGAGCTCCTCCATTTCATCGGATGAAGGAATCCACAGATCATCCATGGAGAAATCGAAATCGAGGTCGTCGACTGCGAAGTCGCCGTCGCCGCCTCCGTCAGCGTACTGTTGGGAAAAGAAAGCAGCGTCTATGGGTGGAATGGAGAGCCCTGAATCATGATCCGCCATCGCCGGAGGCGGATCGATCGTCACGTCACCCATTTTCAGCGACGATTGACGCAGAAACGCAGAGGAATTCGCAGGGAAGGTAAAATTAGGGTTAGAGAAAAAATTATCCGCCAAGGCGTCGAAGAAGGGAAGACGTGTTCTTCTAAACTACCAATTGCGAATTAGTAAACACGTTTTTTCTAATTTCCGATGTAAAAGGTATATGCCAATTACAATTGGGCCTTAAAATGATAATAATTGGGCCCAATTATCTGTTTTTAAGACTCCAAAAATTGTTTCTAACCCAATGTCATCTCCAACCTATTCTTTGGTTTTCTCCAAGTTTTCCTTTAAATTTTACCTCCACTCCAATTCACTCTAATTTTTCTCTAAAAAATATTATATATATAATTTTTATTTTTAAATAATTACATAATATTTATTTCACTTTTATTTAATCAAATCCAAAATATTTTTGTGTGTAATATAATGTTAATTTATTCTATATTATGTAATATTTTAATAATAACATATATATTTATTGCAATATAAATAATTATACTTAATTTATAATTGGGTATATAAACAGTAACGGATCTATATTGGGGTTTGGAGGGTCAACTGACCTCCCAGCCATTTCCAAATTTTTTTAAGTGTAATTTTTTATTTAGTAATCAAATTTCTCCCTCTCCAATTTGGCATTAATATTCTACATAAACCTCCATATTATTATTGTTATTATTATTATTATTTTAATTTACAAAAATATATAATATTTTTATTTATAAATTTATTATATAAAAAATAAAATATTTTATCTTAAATATTATTTTCGTTCATTTTTTTCTTCTTCACAACCACATTGTTAATAAAAATTGAAAAAGTTAAGACGGCATCAAATGGTAAAAATTAGTCGACGAGAAAGTTTTTATATTATTTTTTGTACACACATAAACAGCCGAATGTCTATTTTAAAAAAAAGGTAGGCTCGAAATAGATTGAAACTAAAGATAAACGGTAAAAAAATAAAATAAATAAATATAACAATTTTGCCCCCCGGAGGCGCAAAGCTGGTTCCGTCACCAGGTAAATTGTATAATACCCTCTTGTGTTTAGTAAAAATGCGCAAACACTGAAGCTTCAGCCTCTTCGTGCCTCTTGATCATTCATTGTCGTTAATTATTTGTCTTGTTACTTGCTTTAGTCTTTTTTACTCCAATCAGCCGTTCTAGAACTATTGCAGCAGGACCCCCAAATTCGGACCCACTAGGACCTTTTTTTTGACAACCTAGTATTTATACGTACTGCTTTTGAACTGTGCTCTCAGTATAGGTGACTAGAGAGCTTCCTCCGATTGACATATGATCCTCACTTGCCTCGCCAACAATTTACTTTCCTACAATATTTGACCTCACTTGTTTTGTTTTGTTTTTTTTTTTTTTTTTTTCCATTAACATATTTCATCCATTTCGATTGATCCTTTAGTATATGCCAGTATGTCTCACGCTTGAAGCTCGATTTGTGTTTATCTTTGAATCTGCTGTGAAAATATTGTATGTAAAAGTAATATTGGTAGTTATTTTAGAATCAATTAAGTAATTAAGAAATGCATTAGAATTAAAAAAACTTACAACATTGGCGGGGCTCAATCCGTTTCGATAATGTTGTTGTCCGTGCACTCGTATGGCTAACCACTTAATGCATTGTGATCGAATTTTCATCAATCGATTCTCACATCCTTCAAGTGTTCTTTTATCTTCTGCTCTACTAATACCGTGGTTCTCCTCCATAAGCACAACAGAACTCTCACATATACGCTCATGTAATCTGTCTTTTTTTGTCCAAACCAACTTCTGCATCCGTCGCCACGTTACACCAACACTCCAACTCTTACTTGCACGTTGGTTTGTTTCAAAAGACTTAACAACGGGGTTGCTTGTAGAAGGAAATCACATTGGAAGGGTAAACAATTAGCGTACGGGAATGATGTGTTGGCTTGTGATTCTTGGGTTTCATGGTATGGAACCTAAGTTGTAGTGTCCGGTGAAATGAACTTTCACATATTCGAGTAAAACATAGGATCATTTGGATGGGCATAGTACTGCGTAGGAGTGAAAGTACGACCACAACTCATATTAACTTAATTCGGAAATATCGGTATTTGTGGTTCAAATTTGTGTTACTATAAACAACTGAGGTTGAGTTTTGAGTTAAATCGACAACATTGTCAACCCTTTCGTTGTCATCCCTATCCGCCATGAGTCTATCTTCTGAAAATTAGAAGAAAAACAAGAGAAGTGTCATATATTAAGACTAATCAAGTGATAAAATCCTATACTAATTCTTTTGCATAAGAGATAAAATTTTCTGTTGAAGTAATAAATAATTTTAGTCCTAAATATAAAGCAAATGTAAATGTAAAAAATCTCAATACAATACACAAATAAAGAAACAAAAAATCAAATACACAATCGAATGCTTTAAAATTCTAAAGAAAACATAGAAATTCCAAAGAAATCAAGAATACACAATCCTCGTTTCACTTACATAAAACCCTACAAAATTTCAATCATCTCAAAAAGTTTTGCAATTCATAGAATTAAACAAATCTAATAAGAATGTTGGAATTGAAAAAAAATAATAATAATAATTGAAGACAAAGCCACAATACGTACCTGGGATCAACGGACCCGGCATCATCACTGACCAGTGGGGGAGGATGTGGCAGTGAAAAACAATCGCATATGAAGACAATTTAATGAATGGTGAGAGAAAGTGGGAAGGAATAGTTTTGATCTATTAGAAGGAATATAGTATTTGGATAGCGTAAGACGAAGTGAGGAAAATTGAATTGAAAATCTAATTATATACTCCCTCCGTCTACCAGTTGTCTTTCTATTTACTTTTTTTCATGTTAATATTTGAATATTAATTATTATATCAAAATATTGTACAGACAAAAAAATGACAAAAATATTTTTATTAATATCTTATAATACTAATACAATGATATTTGAACAAAAAATTATACAAATATTATAATATTTTTTATGTTAAAAATAATGATAACAAATGCAAATGAAAAAAATTAGTGATGGACGAATGTAGTATTAGAAAAATGAATGGTAGATTGCGAAGGAGCTACTATGCAATATTTGTAAACTCTCCCATCCAGTTTATTTCCACTCCGTAGACACATTGGATTGCACTAGCTTTTGGAAGGTGAGGCATTGTCCTTACTCTATGGTTGTATTTACTATATGAGATTACGATGGATAACATTATTTTATCTGACATAATCTCATATTTACTTTAATGTATTAGAATCTTATATAATTGATGGTCAGATACAATTATATTAATTTATATTATTAATACAATCTAACCCTCTAGTATCATTTAGTTTTACTTAATAAAATATCTAAATTACCTTTTTTATTTAGATCTCTAGAAGTATTTTATATAAATATAATAACAATTTTTTCTTTAGCATATTTCGATTTTATTTGAAATGTAATTTATATTTATTTTAATTTTTAATCAATAATATAAAGAGATAATGATCATAGACAATATATTATTAAAATTTAATTTATAATTATGAGGTTAAAATAAAATATATTTCATAAATAATAAAAAATATATATCAAGTTATATATATTTTTTTGGCTCCCTTTACGCAGGGTTTCTAGATGGATTGATTTTTTTTTTTTTTTTTTTTTGTGGTATAGAGAATTGTGTCAAAACTATAAAATATATTATTTTAATTTGAATATTTGACTTTTAAATTTTTTGTAATTAATATTTGAAGGTTTTTTTTTCTTTTTTTTTTTTTTACTTTTTAACTTTTGTAAAAAAATATTTTGTATTATTTATTATTATTTTTTGAGAATTAAAAAATAATGTTGAAAGAATAGAAAGATTATGCCATTACAATGTTACAATTAAATTTTAATGTATTGTTACCTATTATAATGTTATAATTAGAAAGAAAACAATGTATACAATAAATTATATTACTATTATTGATAATAAGATTATTAAGGGTATTTTAGGTTAAAAAAATAATTATACCATATAATCAAATAAAATAAATATAATATAACTTTATCTAATATTTAATCACACAAACTAAACGTTATATTAATTAGCCTATTGATTATATAATCCATTAAAATTATCTAGGTATTATAATCAATCATTCCAAGTAAACACACCCTAATAGAATATTCATTCTGAAACAATGTTTATTAATGTGTAGCGGTTAGAGTTTTACTGAGCTGATTTGACTCGATCAACACATATAATTGAAGTAGATTGATGCATGTATGACAACACGTGATATAATTTTATATTACACATGTTCTTATAGTACATAATATAATTTCACATACCACAATATATTATAATTTTAACATAATAAATATTTATACAGTACAAATATAAAATTGCACAACATTTTGCTTCCCAATGACATAACTATATATTGTGTAATAAACAAATATATGTCATCTATCTTAATTATATTGAGTTAAATCAACACCGTGATGATTTAACTCACTAACACCCTAAACAGTGTCTTATTTATCCATAAATAAATTATTGGAATATATGGGTATTGAGAGAATAAACTCTACCGTAAAACTGAGTCGATGATGGATTGTAACACCCCCAGTTGGCTCATACTGGAAATGCTACCGCCATACTGCATCATGAGGTCGTCATCTCCTACTTCGGGTCCCACAATACAGTGTTAAGACTAAAATTAACCATAAAAGCGCATTATTATATAACAAAAAGTGATTTATAAGTATTTACAAAACACACCCCTTAACAAGAGGTTTTTCCGGTTTAAAAATTTACATATAATACAATAGACGTAAGTTCACTCACTCAGCCCGTCTTTCTATATCCCGAGACGTTCCCTGTCTCGGATGTGCCATGCATATCTGAAACAAATATTTTCTTAAAAGCATTCTAGAATTAAATCCAATTTAAGAACTAACGTGAAATATGTCATTTCATACCTTTTTTTAAAAAAATAAAGTCTAATTCCCGTCAATCATAAAATACGTGTCATGTCATGCCAATAGTGAAATGATGCAACAAATATATCAAACTCGACAACAATGCACATCCACATATATATATATCCGGCGAAGTGAGCAGCCGGAA